AAACTATTTAATGAAAGGGAAGGGGGATACAATTTAAGGGGTCAGTTAAATTTAAAAATTCATGCTATACGTACAACCAAAAAAAGATTTTGTATTTCCATAAGTGGGGTAAAACTATGGAATAATTTAAGTGTGGATATAAAAAATAGTGATAGAATTGACGCGTTTAAACGTAAATATAAAGGCATGTGTCAATCAAGATATATGCAAGAACAGGCTCAATGATTAACTACATGGACTATTGTGGGTGTGGTGTATATTTTGTAACCATTCTTTAATACATCACTGGTGTGATGTAGGAATGTTAACACTGTTATATTCTTTTTTAGTATAATATGTGTGAGTGTAGAAGTGAATCATTTATTGCTTGCAAACCAGTGATGGTAAGATGATGCCATGGGGTAGGACTGGATAAGTCTGACTTCTTCCTACTCCATTCAAGCATGTACAGTACTAGGTATAAGCAAATTGATATTGGATTGTGTGTAAAAATGTGTGTTGTTATATCAACTGTTTTTTTATATGCTTGAAAGAATAAATCAAATCAAATTTCCTACCAGGGATCAATTGTCAGATGATTAAAACAAAATATACTATTATTATAAAATTCTAAGAAACAAATAAATGGAGTAGTGGAGTAAAGAGTGCAATATTTGCCTCTAAACTTCAGTGAATCTTGGTACTTACGGTCCTTGTCCAGTCTGTCTACAGTCTTCTCTCATTATCATCCTTTTAGTAAAGTGTGAGCAGTGTTTTCTTTATTTTATAACAATATAAATAGATATTGGATGACAGAAACCAAATATTTAAACTAGATTGGGCATCTACCATTAATTTCAAAGAATTTCATCCTAGTCTACCATGCCTGATTGAAAATGGTCCAGCAATTTTTTTATGACCATGAACAAATGCATATATTGGCAAAATCTCTCTACAGCATTTTGGCCTCAGAGGAATTAGGCAGAAGTATCTTAAGTGTGACAATGAGTTTAACAGATTTTCTAAACCAGGGGTAGAAAAAGGCATAGATCAAAGGATTTAGACAGGCGTTAATGTATGTCCAAAATATGACAAAGGTAGCAGATGCAACACTGAGCAAATTATCTTGGCCTGTAAGAGCAACAAAATAATATGGGCAGAGACATATTATAAACACAACTACAACAACACCAAGAGTCCTGGCTGCTTTCATTTCAGATTTCCTAGCTGATACTTTCATTGAACCCTGGAGTGTGACAGCTGCAGTGTGAGACCTCATGACACGAGCCTGAGATGCAGCCACCACAAATACTTTCATATACAGAATTAGAATAACAGTAATGGGACCAGTGAAGGAAATAATAATGTGTGCAAGTCCAGCAATGGGGTTGATGACAATGATACACTCTCCAAAGCAGGAGTTATACCTGCCTGGTTGTTCCAGGACATCCTTCAGTATCAGACTTTGATAGAACACAGAACATGTCCAACACAAACAAACACAGATCTTGACTCTTTTCAGTGTGATTTTGGTGGAGTAATGCAGAGGATCACAAATAGCAATATAGCGATCAACAGATATGAGCACCATGTTTCCTATTGAAGTAGAAGTAATGATGCATGCTAGATACTGATACAGAGCACACATGAGGTCACCAATGTACCAGCAGCCGTTTGTGAGTGTAGTTTGAAACACCAGGAGGAGGCCTACAAAGAAATCTGAAACAGCCAGAGAGAGGATGAGGAGGCTGGTGGGGGTGTGGAGCTGCCTGGAGAGGAAGACCAGAAATACATTCATAATTACATGATATATAGTATTAGTTTGGAAACATTACTTTTTCTCTTACAATTTGGTATAAAGTGATTTTTTTTCCTTTTTTTACAAACTGTCTCTTTTCTATTACTGTCTACAAGTTTGTTAATGACTAATCTGGATACTTGAAGTGGGAGACAGAGATGATGACCAGAACATTGAGAGATGCAGTGAGCAGAGACATGGAGGACAGCAGGACATAAGTCAGTATGGTCTCAAAGTGAGGACGCTTTGGCCTCACACAGGAGGCATTAAGGAGATGTGGAAAGCAGAGTTCAGTTTCCTCCAAGGTCTCCATCACCAGAGAGGAGAAGCTGCTGAACTCTGGCAGCTTATTGACCAAAGCTTCCTGCCATTTAACTTTACTCACCTCCCACCCCTCCCTTATACTCACCTCTGCTGCTGTTTTTCTCTCCATAGACCTTGAACTACAGCGCCCTTTGTGCTCATTTTTATCATTCTTGAGTGTGACTGAGGTCTTTGTTTATGTCCACCTTTGCCACATATCTTTGGTCAAAATTGGTGTATATTTTAAGTTGTTAATAACCCAAACCTTAACCAGTAGACTGTTTCCTCATAAGGAACAAAAACAAACCCATAGTGCCTATCAGAGCCTAGTTGAATAACCTAAAGTTCCAGGCAAACATAGTAAAAAAAAAAAACAAAGAAAAAAACACTATTTACACATAATGGAGTTACATGTGGCTTCTAAGTTTGACAAAGGATGTACCAACACCAGGAGTGTATAGCCTTAAAATATGAGCAAACACTATGGTAACAGCAGCACAATAGTTTTACTCTTCAGTGATGTTCTAGTACCTTTAAAATTAGAGCAGCTTTCCCCCAACATTGGTCCATGACAAGGACATGGTTTTGTGAAGATAATTTGAAAATTGGAGCAACTTAAACATTTTTAATCATCTCAGTAAACAAACAAGTGAATCAAAATGTGTTAGAACAGGAAAGGCAGGAGTATAGGTCCCAGAATAGGGACTCTTAATATTGGCACAATGACAGGGAAAGGTAGAGAGCTGGTGGACGTGGTGGAGAGAAGGAAGGTAGATATACTGTGTGTGCAGGAGACCAGGTGGAAGGGTAGCAAAGCGCATAGCATTGGAGGGGGATACAAGCTGTTTGATTATGGTGTGGACAGGAAGAGAAATGGGGTAGGAGTGATCCTGAAGGAGGAGCTTGTGAGGAATATTTTAGAGGTGAAAAGAGTGTCAGACAGAGTGATCAGTTTGAAGTTGGAAATTGAAGGGGTAATGTTGAATGTAGTCAGTGGTTATGCTCCACAAGTAGGGTGTGAGTTAGAAGAGAAGGAGAGATTCTGGAGTGAGTTAGATGAGGTGATGGAGAGTATTCCCAGAGGGGAGAGAGTGGTGATTGGGGCAGACTTCAACGGGCACGTTGTTGAGGGGAACAAAGGTGATGAGGAGGTGATGGGCAGGTTTGGTGTTAAGGGAAGGAACCTAGAAGGACAGATGGTGGTGGACTTTGCTAAGAGGATGGAAATGGCTGTAGTTAACACCTATTTCCAGAAGAGGGAGGAACATAGAGTTACATATAAGAGTGGAGGTAGGAGTAC